CAAGTGATTCTCCTGCCTCAGCCTCCTATTGAGTAGCTGGAATTACAGGCGCCTGCCACCATACCGGGCTAATTTTTGTATTTTTAGTAGAGACAGGGTTTCACCATCTTGTCCAGGTTTAGAACTCCTGACCTCATGATCTACCCACCTCAGCCTCCCAAAGTGCTGGGAATACAGGTGTGAGCCACTGTACCAGCCCAGTTCACTTCTTTTATCTCTAGTTGTGCTGCTTATAATCTTTTGTGCGTAAGTGTGGTTCACAATTAAACAGAGGCTTAAACACAGTTTATTTTATCTACAGAATTTTATGCTGTCACTCTCTGGATCTCTCCTTTCCAAGATTCCTCCTCCCCTTACATTCCACTGATCGAATGGTTGTGGCTGACCCAAATTCTGTCCACTGGCTAAGTATTCTATGAAAGTTTGAGCCAACCTGTCAGGGACAACTGTCCTCTAGCTAAAAGCAGTAAAAATAGAAAACGAATTCCATGCTGTCTCTTCTTACACGTGTTAACTCTCTTTCAGAATCTAACTGTTCTCGTTCATTCTCCAGTGCCTTCAGGTCTTTGTTTTTTTTTTTTTTTAATTTTGTCCCGTTGTATGCAGGACGGTCAGGTCCAGTAAAAGCCTACTTGGCCATAAGAAAAGAAAACCATTTTGAAATTGCTTCTAAAAATTACTTCAGGTTCCTTGTATTTGTAGGTATACAGATTCATTTTTTTCCTTCTTTATGGACTCTTTCTAGCCACAGATTCACTTTAAATTATACCAAGATAGGGATTATTTTGTATCCTTTGTTTTGTAACTCTTTTTCACTCCACTTTAGCACCCACCATCTGCTGGGTGCTCAACGACGTAGATTTTACTAATAAATTATGAACATTTTTTTCATAACAGAAGACACTCTAACTTTGACAATAACTAGAAAAATAATGCACATAGCTACAAATGAGACTGACAAGGAGTAGCACCCTAATACTGGGGAAATATTCACATCTGTGAAAACAGACAAGTATAAGAATGTTAACTTCAGCACTGTCTCTAATAGTAAAAAATAGGAAAGAATCTAAATCCTTATCAAAAGAAAATAATATATTAATACAATGGATTACTACATTGCTGTTAAAACGAATAAATTATACATATTCCAACGTGAAAGAGTTTAAAAACCTAATGTTGAGCCAGGCATGGTGGCTCATGCCTGTAATCCCAGCACTTTGGGAGGCCGAAGCGGGCGGATCACAAGGTCAGGAGTTCAAGACCAGTCTGGCCAAAATAGTGAAACCCCGTCTCTACTAAAAATACAAAAAATTAGCCAGGCGTGGCAGTGGGTGTCTATAATCCCAGCTACTTGGGAAGCTGAGGTAGGAGAATTGCTTGAACCCTGGGCGGTGGAGGTTGCAGTGAGCCAAGACTGCGCCATTGCACTCCAGCCCAGGCAACAGTGTGAGACTCCATCTCAAAAAAAAACAAACAAAACCAAAAACCTAATGTTGAATGAAAAAGTTATACAACAAACATAATATGAATAAATGATTGAAAGACATAAAACAATACAAACACATTTATTTAAAATAAACTGGAAGGATGTACCAGGTCCATGATGGTGTTACATCTGGGAAGGGGAGACAGAGGGAGTGGGAAGGTGGTAATGAAAGAGTCCTTTAGCTTGGAAACAAATATACTACCGATGCTAACAATTAATCAAAGTTAATTCTACATATAGAGAATATATGAGTGTATGCTGCCTTTGTACTTTTCTATAATTTTTTCTTTTAATGTAAACACTGCTATAGTAAACATCTGTGCATTTTTGCACATTTTTAAAAAAGGATAAATTCCTAAAACCAAAATTGCTAGGGCAATTGTAGGTCTTTGTTACATATTACCAACTGCCTTCCAGAAAGGCTGTAACAATTTCCATGTAGGTCACCAAACTATATGCTTATTGCCTTGCATTCTTGCCAATCTGAATACTAAAACACAAAAAACTATCTTCAGTACACTAGGTATGTGAGGCAGGGATCTGATTTTCCCCCTCAAACTATTAGAATCTATCATACCTTAATTACTGAGCAACCCACTATAATATCATCATAAAGGCTTAATTTCAAACTGTTATATACCATAAAATAGCAAAAACAAAAAAATAATTAATTATTTTGTTTCTTTTGCTTGTTTTCCCAAACAACTTTAGGCAGAATATAATTAAGCACTGTTTTTTATCTTTGAAAGGAAGAATATGCAGATATATGTATTGAAAACTAGACAATCAGGCAGGTGCAGTGGCTCAGGCCTGTAAATCCCAGCACTTTGGGAGGCCAAGGCGGTGGATCACTTGAGGCCAGGAATTTGAGACCACCCTGGCCAACATGGTGAAACACAGTCTCTACTAAAAATACAAAAAATTGGCTGGGCATGGTGGCACACACCTGTAATCCCAGCTCCTTGGGAGGCTAAAGCATGAGAATCAAGAATCTCTTGAACCCAGGAGGCGGAGATTGCACTGAGCTGAGATTGTACCACTTGTACAGCCTGGGCAATAGAATGAGACTCCATCTCAAAAAAAAAAAGATAAATAAATAAAACTAGACACTGATGCATTTTACTGAAATGGTTTTTATTTTTATTTATTTATTTATTGAGACAGAGTCTTGCTCTGTTGCCCAGGCTGGAGTGCAGTGGGGCCATCTCGGTTCATTGCAATGAAATGGTTATTTTAAAAGATGTACTCATAAATAAGACAATTTAAAAAGGTTTTCACTTTTGAAAGCTACAAGAAAGACCTTTAAATTTCTTGGTCTAACTATACCAGTCTTCTTTAATTATCATCTAAAAATACATACTAATCATAGAATTTGATCAGTGACAAATATCCTGAACTTCCATAGCCCTTTTCATCTCTCATGCTAGATTAAATGATTCAGTTGAGAATTACTAATAATTAGCATTTACACAACACTTTATTTACTGCAACACACAAAGCAGGGGAAAATAATGATCATCACATTAACAAAGGAAGACGCTGAACCAATTAGACTAGTCATCTAAGGTCACGCTAAAGCAGGAACTTGCCAGAATTAGACACGGGAGTTCTTATAGCATAATTCCAATATGACTTATTACTCAAAAGTTACTACCTATAAGAATTATGACAACTCAGGAAGAAATCTAGAATGTACCAGAGCCACAGAATCACATTACTGAAATAACTGAAGATCATCTACTTCAAGATCCTCACTTTACAGATAAGAAAACTGAGGCCCCCAAAAGCCTATCTAAGTTAGTTGTTCAAAGTCGTACTTCTAGGCACAGTACAGCAAGAATTAGAATCTAGTACTCTTTAATCTAAATTCAGTGAGCTTCAAATACTAGAGTGTAACAGCTATCCTTAATTGGTAATTCAAAAATTTTGGTTTATTGAAAAGCCTCAATGTCTTCACTGATAATTATTAGTGAAATAATTCATGTCATTAATTCAATAAGTAATTATCCAGTACTTATTACTATGTACCAGGCCATGTATGTGGTGCTAAATCTGACTGAGTATTTACTATGTGCTAAGCACTGAATTACCTGTATTTTCTTTTTGAGATGGAGTCTTGCTCTGTCACCCAAGCTGGAGTGCAACGGTGCAATCTTGGTTCACTGCAACCTCCACCTCCCAGGTTCAAGTGATTCTCCTGCCTCTCCAGCTTTCCAAGTAGCTGGGATTACAGGCATGTACCACCATGCCCGGCTAATTTTTTTCTTTTGTATTTTTAGTAGAGACGGGTTTCTCCATGTTGGTCAGGCTGGTCTCGAACTCCCGACCTCAGGTGATCCACCCACCTCAGCCTCCCAAAGTGCTGGGATTATAGGCGTGAGTTACCGTCCTGACCTACATTTCCATATTTAATCCTCACAATACCATTATAAGGTTAAGTACAATTTCTCTGTTTTAAATATTAAAACTTAAGAAGGTAAGTCTACCTATGGTCTCCAGTAAGGAAATGCCTTTATGAGAAGTAAATAGTATAATCAAACACGAAATACGTTTAGCCTAACAAAAATCTCACTTTCTTGTAAATACTACAACTCTGTATATGATTTCATTTGAAAAAAGGATCTATAATCAAAAAAGTTTAAAAACCACAGATCTCTACATAGCACCTAACACTGACCATATGGTAGATGCAGAACTTGGTATTACATTAAAGGTTGGGGGTCTCTTGTAGAAGGCTTGAAAGATCTTTTTTTTTTTTTTCCTTGTACTTTCCAAGACCTCAGAATAGACAGTATTTGCAGTAATTTAACTGAAAGCCACTTGCTATAAAAGTGATCACTTGAAATAGAAGACAAGAGAAGGGGTTTCTGGTACCATCTAACAATGAGTTTTGGCCTGAAGAATATTAAGTAAGATACAAAGTAGAAGAAAGTACGAGTTTTCCTAAGTATTACTCATAAAATAGTACTACAATACTGGTTACCTACTTTCAGAGCATAAAATCTCTGTAGTATATGATCACATTAATTAAAAGTTTCATTTACTATCTTTCCCAGCAGGAATTCCTTTATCTTTGATTGCTAAGATTTCACAATGTCCATATCAATAAACCCAAGTGCTAAGAAGTGTGACTGTTATAAAGATTTAGAAATAAGCTTTGTAAATAAGTAAGAACCTGATGATATTAGGTTCTCACCTAATATCACCCTAGGGCCAACCTATAAGAAAAGACATACCTTGAAATATAACTGGAGCATAGAAAAAAATTTTAGGGGAAGATTAATTTTACAAAGTGGTCTACTGCTTTGGGAAATACTGGTATTAAGGAAACCAAATCAAACAATCATTATTAAAAAAAAAGAGAGAGAGAAGAAGAATCTGCCTTTCCCATCATACAGTATATTATATTCTGCCATAATCTGTAGGTATAAATCGGCCTCTAACATAAATGGCATGCTGATAAATAATCAATCACAGAATTAACCACATGCAGTATTCTGATGTGAATAGTTACCTGAGAAGTCTGTCAGAAGTCTTGCTAGGACATGCTTTTTTACTAATTCAGTCTTGCTAAGGCTGGAAACAGCATCTACCCTAGTGGTTTCTCTGATAGCAGTGGGCTTTTGGGAAATCCCAAGATCAGATCCATTCTTGACATTATGTTCTAGGATGTCACATGATCTCTGTGGCCAAGATTCTGGAGCGAATGTGAAAGTTTGTTTCAGCACTTCTTCAGAAGGCAATTCTGTGTCATGCTGTACAGAAGCTGACTTCTCAACCTGTCTTTCACCTAATTCTTTAAGAGCCTTGATTGTGAGCTGTTCTTGTTCTAAGTCAAGGGATGCTACTGGAGTACCTTGGGTGGGGAAAACACCTAGAGGTTCACTTCCATTTGTTTCTTTGCTTTGTTCACTGTATTTGCTTCCAATGTCTTTAATTTCAGAACCACCAGGCTCATTTTCACGTAAGACTTTTTCTACAGGAAGAGCTGTTTTAAAGTCTGTGGTCTTCTCTGATCCTGCCTTAAAGGCATTTCCTTCACTAGCTACTATTCCTTTCTCTCTGGTTTCTGTAAAGGCTGCTACTAGGTCCTCTGGGGAGGAATCATCTATATGTTTAACATTTTTCCCATCTAATGACTCTAAATAGGCAGATGTTGTCATATTTAATGAGAATTCTGTCTCATTAGAAACATCTGGAGACACTGAAGGAAGTTTGGGGTTCTGAGTAGTAATAGGCTTTTCAGGCACAACTTCACTCACTTTATCTGACTGCTTCACATCTACAGAGATATTCATATTGGGTACTTTTGAACATGCTGCCTCACCAGCTGGACTCCTTTCAAGAGTATCAGGCCAATCTTGATGTAGTTCAGAAGCACTGACCAACTCCTCAAAGTTTTTAGATGTTTCTTCTTCTCTCTTACAACTGGGAGTCTCTTTGATTTCTCTTTCACCTGTTTTTACAATAGCACTTCGAATGGAAACAGGTTTTTCAGCCTGAATTTTGTTATTTTCAAATGATGAATCTGCTGTGATGTCCTCTATTACAGTGTCATCAGACTCACCGGAACTATCGGCCTCTGTGATTTCTCCCAATGCAGAGCTCTGCCAGTTCATTTCATCTTTCAGGTGGTCATCAGATAAAACCATTTTCACTGTGGCCACTCCAGAACCCAAAGAGTCACATTTCTCAGGTGTAGTCCCGGGTAATTCTGCAAGTATGTCATCCTGTTTCTGCGTATTGCCTTGTACACCTCTGATACTGAATTCTTTTGCGGAACTGAGAGGATCTGCTATAGGTTTTCCAGTGATAGCATTTTCTTGTGGGAGAGATGCTTCTGCCCAATCACCTGTTGATTTAGTGACGGGAGTGCTCCCATTAACAGAACATACAGGAATTTTCTGATGAGTGTTAGTTTTAAGATTTACAACTGGAATTTCTGAATTATATTCACTCATGACAAGTCCTGTAGTTTTTGTGATGCAGTCACAGGATTTATCGGTCTGTTGTTTCACTTGGGGAACCAAATCCCAAGTCAGTATTTCATTAGTGAAGTTATGCATATCATTCACACATCTAGACACCTCTTCCAGTGCTGCATTTGTCTGTGAAAACTGTCTACTGAGCAATGCAGACATTGGGTAACGTCCTGCCTCTTTATTTCTCAGTGGAAAAAGCTTGTCATTAGTCTCTGAAATGTCTTCGGATGATTCTCTATCAGTGTGCATAGAGCAGCTACCAAAATCATCTGTGCTCTCCTTATATGAGTCTTTAAATTCTTTATCAAATGCTGCTTTGTCAATAATTACTTCAAATGGTGATTCAGGGGAATCCTTTTCAATAACACCATCTCCTGAAACTTTGGATGGGGACAAAGAATATGTATAAATGCCTTCTACCTTAGAGTACTCAGTAGGTGGTTTCTGGGCTGTTAGCAAAGTGAATCTGTCATCAGCATCCAATGCAGTTTTAGCTTCCCTACTTGATACCTCATTTGGGTTCTTGGTCTCTTTATCTATTTGCTCTTCCACTAGACCAATTTTCTTTGAGAGAAAAGCAGGATGCTCTGGGAAACTGGCTGGAATAGAAGGACGGTCATAATGAACTCCTGCTGCAAGAGAAACTGAAGAGTCTGATACGTTGTTGCTGGTCCCCTGGGGCTTTTCCATTTTTTTCGTATCTTTTAGATCCAAGTGGTCTTTTCCTTCATTGGCTAAAATAGGCTGGCTCCCTAACACTTTGCTTTTTTCTCCATGTAGTATTGTAAGGCCAGTATTATGTATTTCAGAAGATAAAAGAAAGGAAGAAGTCATAATTTCTGAAGATGGCTCACTGGAGCAAAGAGAGCTCAATACCTCTATGATCAGAATTTCAAAGAAAAAAATTGTTTACCAGGTACAATTACACATTAGCTAGCCAAGCCAAGCAGCATGCTTTTTAATTTTAAAATTACATAAATATGTATATACACACACAGGATGTATATATACACACATAAATACGTAACAAAACAATCAAGTCATCCTACAGGACATGCATAAAACTGCCAACAGCAAAACAGAAAAGCCATTTCATGCTGGGAACTGCAAATGACAAAAAATTTTCATGACAAATACTTTTTGGTCTACTTTTCCACTGTAAAGAGAAAGCATAACGAAGGGCGATAAAATTGAGAAATCTAGGGAGGTTTTTATTATTCTGGTAGAGCTAATCAACCAAAGCAAAATAATCCATACAAAACAAGTAACTTGACACTATGATGCACTGATAGACTTCAATCTGTAAACTGAACAATTCAGAGCACACACTGCTTCTATAAATCCAATGTTACAGTCTCACAATCTGAGAAGGAAAAAAATAAGTGGCCAGATTTCTTTTTGATTTTTAGGAGATACAACAGATGCTTCCTGAGCCTGAAATGAGACAAGAATTATTGAATTCTATCCACAGGAAGAATTTGTCCCATGTATAAATAAATAGCCGTGATGTTCTAAACTAAAGGGTACTGAAAAAGGTTGACCTACTTCAAAATCTCTCTCTCTTTTTTTTACATGGAGTCTTGTTCTTGTCGGCCAGGCTGGAGTGCAATGGCGCAATATAGGCTCACTGCAACCTCCACCTCCCAGGTTCAAGGGATTCTCCTGCCTCAGTCTCCTGAGTAGCTGGGATTACAAGCGCCTGCCACCATGCCTGGCTACTTTTTTGTATTTTTAGTAGACATGGGGTTTCAGCATTTTGGTCAGGCTGGTCTTGAACTCCCAATCTTAAGTGATCCACCCCACTCAGCCTCCCAAAGTGTTGGGTTTACAGGCATGAGCCACCACGCCCACCTAGCCCCTCCAAAATCTCTTGTACCAACTTGTCATTTAAATCAATATTGTACCATGCAAATTGACACTTCGGTTAAGACAGAGTTAACTCGGCTGGGCACAGTGGCTCACCTGAGGTCAGGAGTTCAAGACCAGCCTGACCAAAATGCTGAAACCCCGTCTCTACTAAATATACAAAAAATTAGCTGGGTGTGGTGGTGGGCGCCTGTAATCCCAGCTACTCAGGAGGCTAAGGCAGGAGAATCACTTGAACCCAGGAGGCCACGCCATTGCACTCCAGCCTGGGTAACAAGAGCAAAACCCCAACTCAAAAAACAAACGAACAAACAAAAAAAAAACCAGTTAACTCCAGAATTACTTTTAAAATAGAAAATATCCTTTTCAAAGTAATACATTAAGTCTTATCAGTAATTAATACCAAATACCACAGTAGCCATCAATCTACCACACTGTTTCCTAACTTCCCACTCTAACAAGTTATTAGGGAAAAGGATAAAAACAAACATCCCAAGGGCTGGTGCTTTCTTATTTTCTTTATTTATCTGTTTGTTTTTGAGACAGGGTCTTCCTCTGTCCCCCAGACTGGAGTGTAAATGGTGCAATCGTGAACAGCCTTGACCTCCTGGCTTCAAGCTCTCCTCCCACCTCAGCCTACCAAGTAGCAGGGACCACAGGCACTTGCCACCACACCTGGCTAATTTTTAAACTTTCTGCAAACATGGGGTCTTGCTGTGTTGCCAGGCTGGTCTCAAACTACTGGGCTCAAGCAATCTGACCAACTTGGCCTCCTAAAGTGCTGGGATTATAGGCACGAGCCACCTCGCCCAGCCCTGGATGTTGTCTTTCTTGCATACTCTTGTATCTGCAGCTGGAACAAAGTGGGTCTTAAATAGCCCCAAATAAGTGAATCAAAGATTTTGCTTGGTCAGCTGAGACCTAAGTAGGCTCAGGACAGCAATGTCTTGAGCATGAATGAGTAACTGGGAAAATGTCACAGATAAATTCTTTTGGGATTACTTTTATTCAGCTTATGTTCCCTTTTTCATGTAAACACCCAAATATCAGATAAAAGCAAAATTATGACTTTATTCCAAATTATTAAAGACAAAAATATTTTACAATAAATCAAATTCTGCTATTATAAAAATGTTTTGAAATGCCATATGAAGTTCCCCTACTTCAACACATCACTGAAATTTGATGTAATAAGAGTTGAACTTTAGAAATAGTATAACTGTAATCTGGTTAGTAAAACAAAAAGTCTTTGTACATTGAAGAAAAACGGTTAAACCTTGGTGGCAAAGCTATATTACCAGAACAAAACACTTGAAGTAAACTTTAACTCATATGTAGTTCTAATTTAGTAAACATGGTTTGCATCTACCATTCTATAGAATGAATATTCTGCATGACTAGATTAGGGCATAATAGAAATGAAGCCCAGCATTGCAGGTTAAAAAGTTCAAAAGCCTGAAGTGTAAAGTACTATAGATTACATTTAAATCAGAAATATTCCACAGTCTGAGCCATGCATTGTTACTGAACTTACTAGTCAGTATTTCTACCAGAAAATATTCAGGGAACTAAGGTTATGATAAAACTGTTTGGGAACCTCTCTCTTCAAACAACTCTGAGGTGCGTCAAACTGACTCCACATCACAGGGAAGTTCAGCTTATATGGTTTGTGTTTTCTCTTTTGGAGACACAGTCTCGTTCTGTTGCCCAGGCTGGAGTGTGGTGGTACAATCTCAGTTCACTGAAGCCTCTGTCTCCTGGGTTCAAGCTATTCCCCTGCCTCAGCCTCCTGAGTAGCTGGGATTACAGGTGTGTACTACCACACCTGTTTTTTTTTTTTTGAGACAGAGTCTTACTCTGTCTCTCAGGCTGGAGTGAAGTGGTGCAATCTCAGCTCACTGCAACCTTCACCTCCTGGGTTCAAGTGATTCTCCTGCCTCAGCCTCCCAAGTAGCTGGGATTACAGGCGCCCGCCACCACACCTGGCTTATTTCTGTATTTTTACTAGAGACAGGGTTTTGCCATGTTGTCCAGGCTAGTCTCAAACTCCCGAGCTCATGCAATCTGCCTGCCTCAGCCTCCCAAAGTGCTAGAATTATAGGCATGAGCTACTGTGCCCAACCAGCTTATATGTTTTAAGGAGATTTCAGATTATGCAGATTTGTCATCTTACAGATGAACGTCAACAAAATGGATTAGTCATAATTCAACAGATATCTATTGAGTGCCTATCACATGTCAGATGCTATTTTAGCAACTGGGCTTAAAGCAGTGAATAAAACAGAAAAAATCTCTTGCTTTTATGGGGCTTACAACACAGAAGGGGAGACAGACAATAAGCAAAATGATGATGACAATGATGTGATGGTGACGGTGCTTGATGAAACAAAACAAAAGAGAAAGCAATCGAACTGAATGCTAACCAAAGATTATTCACATCCCTGGGAAGGAAGAATACAGTAAAACTGTTATGCTTTAGCAGGACACAAACTGGTCAGTTTACAGAGTTTTGCTTTTCTCTTATCTTCCTTGAACTCTTAATACTCCAAAAGTTTCAAGTTAGGTGTGGAATAATCTTAGGTAAAACTACAAGATAAGGTTAGAAGTCCTATTCTCAGAATACTAACAAGTCCTCTGCTGAGCACCATGACTGCCTGACAGACTTCAAACATTAAAGATTCTTTAGGCTGGGTGTGGTGGCTCATCCCTGTATTCTCAGAACTTTCAGAGGCAGAGCAGAGATTGCTTGAGCCCAGGAGGTCAAGATCAGCCTGGGCAACATGGTAAGACCCTGCCTCCACAAAAAATAGAAAAATTAGCCAGGCATAGAGGCACATGCCTGTGGTCCCAGCCACTTGAGAAGCTGGAGTGGGAGGACTGGTTGGGCCTGAGAGGTCAAGGCTGCAGTGAGCCATGGTTATGCCACTGCACTCCAGCTTGGGCGACAGAGGGAGAAAGAAAAGAAAAGAAAAGAAAAAATGATTATTTAATATGACATGGCTACTAGATATTAAAAAAAACCTCTAATAATGTTCCCTCATAATAATATTATATATTATTATTTATATATAAATTTTGGCTCATGCCTGTAATATTATAACTTACTATTTGGGGTATATATTGTTTTCTGGGGGCAAGCTTACAGAGTAAACAGAGCTCAGTGCTGCATTCAATTCTCAGTGATTGTGAGATGCAGGCACTGGCTCTAATCATTATTGCCAATCAAGCTTTCCCACATGTAGAAAAATAAGATAGCACCACCATCTGTGCTTTAATTTTAATTATCTTGTTTAGAATTTCAGCAAATGAAAAGACCATTTTTGGCTAGTTGAAACCCTAACAAACTTGGACAGAGTTGACCTATACCAAGACAATGGGAAAAACTGGGCTGGAAGTAAAAAGTTTATAAAGACATGAAAACATTAAACAGAAGACCCAAAACTAATAAGTCTTTTAGAACAGCTCTGATAAGCAAAGACTCTTCCAATTAGTCACTATGGCACTTAGAGTCACTGGTGTTACCCAAGTCAGTACCTGGCAAAAGGACAGAAAATTCCAGTGAATCTGAAGGCAGTTAGCTTATAAAATACTGTACACTGTAAAACTGTCTGGTAGAATAAATCTGGATTATTTTATATCTCAGAAAATCTCTACCTTTCTCTTTTCAGAAGATTCATACCTTCACATGCACTCCAAGAGCTTTTCAACATTACTCAAAACAAACCTCCATCAAAACTCTCATTATGAACATTTTCTAAATTAGTTCTTTGTTATAATGGAATTTAATGTGGATACTTATTTTCAAGCGTTCTTTTTTTTTGGTTCCTTTTTCTCTTCAGGTGGAAACAATCAAGTGTTCTAATCACTTAAAAACATGATGCTACTCTATTAACAAATAAGGTCATAGATCTAGTAGATTTATTAAAAGGGAATCAGCTGGGTGCACTGGCTCATGCCTGTAATCCTAACACTGTGAGAACCTAAGGTGGGAGACTGCTTGAGCCCAGGAGTT